CTATCCTTTAAACAGTTCTCTACGTCCATATTTATCTACTTTATTATATTTTCTTACGTACATCACGGCGGAAATAAAAATTGCATCAATTCTAATAGCGAGCAAAATTTGCTCTTGTTTTTTATTTTAATGGTGCTTGCTTTTATCAAGTAACTTTAGAGAATTGATTTTCGTTACTGACAACATTTAGTGGAGATTCTTTTAAGATAGTCCTATTTATTGTATGCAATTGGTAAATAATTATGCTGTGCTACAATTTATGATTTCTTAAGTTGTAACATTATTATGTCTCTTACAGGGATACGTGAATATTCCAAATTTCTTGAATGATACTTCCCAAAGTTTCAACATTAACAAGTCAAATGTTGAAATTTGAAATCTAAGAAACTAATCAGTTGGAATGTGTCAATAAATATTATGCAAGATAATTTCGTTCACTATTAGAAATTCTGAATAATAAAAAACAATTGTTTCTATATCTCATTCCACCGTAATATACGTACGTGTTGGGTGAGGCATCTAAAGCAGGCCAAATAGTTTACCTATTTTTGACGATACTCAAAAATACGTAAGATCAATATTACTTGGTATTATGGATGACATAATTCAATATTTAACCATCTTCATACCGGTGTACGCAGAAATGACAGGCAACTATCTTTTTAAAGGAAACATCTTTTTTGCAGAATATCGATTGTAAGCAATTTGAAAGAAATATTAGAGTGCAATATTAGAAAGATAAAAAATCAATAGTGATTTGTTCTTATACTCTAATAATTTCTAAATGCTTAAAATCGTCCTACGAAGAATATATTTCCTTTGTAAAAATGAAACTGGTTTTCATCTTCTTTGCACCTTCGATAAAGAAGTTATTAACATTGCATTATGTTTTTTTACAAATGAAGCAAATATGAAGCCATTTGCTATCATGGCACCGATTTAAGTGCCCCACCCTGTATATACTATACTTAATTATAGTACAGTCAAGCCTCCATATCCACGAAGGGTTGTTGCCAAAAGAAAAAAGTACACATGTACCATGTAACGCATATTACCATTTTAACGTTGACATCCTCTAAAAAATTGTAATTTACAATGATGAAGTATTAAACTCTCGATTAAATTTTTAAACAAGAGTCCAAGTTAACTTAGTGTCACTAAGTTTGAGTCTCGAATCGCGGATACGGAGTCTCGACTGCATATTTCTATTAACTGTAGATTCTTAAGTATGTAAAATCCATTCGTTATAGCAATAATAATAATAATAATGTGTATAAAATAATGTACTGATAATAACGTATATCTATATTTGTGGGGGGAAGCAAGAGGAAGGGTAGAGCCAGCAAAAAAGAGTCACCGTATTCGAACCGGCTGTCCGTCAACTCTGTCCCATGTAAAGTGTTTTAATGCCGCACCCGCTTTTCCGTGTCCCCACCCTGTTCTTCGTCGTCATTCCCTCTTCAGATTCTTTCGCTCTCACGCACGCTTTCGCTACTCTGCACGGCTGTTGATCGCGGCTTTGCCTCGATCCCGTACGGCTCCGATGAGGACCGTTACGGCCCTGTTTGGTTCGCCATACCACCAACAGCATTTCACCGACTCAACGAAGCCTTTCTTTCTTTCAAATGGATATACACCGTACATTCACCCTACGCGTACTCTCTGTCTCTCTATCTCTTTCTCTCTCTCCCTCTCTCTCTTGTCATTCACCCTCTTTCACCCCTCGCCAATCTTACAATATTCAACAGCGTTCACCCGGACTGCCACGCAAAAACACACGCACACGTTCGTTACAAACACGAATGTGAATTGTTAATGAACCATGTACACACACAAACAATAAAAAAAAAAAATGAAAAATAAAATAAAATAAACGATAACAAACAAACAAACCCTCCCCTTTAGAAATCGTCCGTGCGTCCCGTCAGAAAGTCTAAAATCGTGATCCATCTTTAAACGGGAAGACGATCCATCGAGATCGAGGGACGCTCGAGATGAAGCAAACGTTTTTTTTTATTTTTTAACATGTCTCAGCTTCGATGCGATTTTACACATTTTTTTTATTTTTTATTTTTTTTTTTTTTGACTAGTTATTTAATCCGCTTTTCGCTTCTGTTACACATCAGATTATATTATTCTTTTATATTATTCGACTTTCTCTTATTTTATATGTATGGTTTTAGATTCTGGCATTTCGGAACGGTTTCATTTTTTGAGCGGCTGGCCTCCCCTAGTTCCCTCGCTTCCCCCGCGCAAAGGTAATCTCTCAGAGATCGAATGGTGACTCAGATTAATCTCAACTCACCTGCGCAAAGAGAACAAAGCAACACGGTTTTCACGGTCACTACCGAACGATCATCGTATGTTCGACATCTTCGAAGCACTCGCGTCCGTGCGTGCGTACGTTAGTACGGTTAACTTCTATTCTTTTATTATTCTTTTCATCGAATTATTTCTCTGTTCTGTTTCTCTTCTGGTATGCCCACAAAGAACGGTCGATGTTGTTCGTTTCTCTTTTATTCTTCTGTCTCTCGATCTTTTCTTTCTCGCTCGTTCTTTGCGTTTTCTTTTATCAAAAATTTGCTCTTTTTCTCCGTACTGTCTGTTTCGCTCGTTTTTCATCCTGTTCGTGTTTTCTCTCGTTTCTTGTTTCTTCCACGGAAAAGTCTCGATTTCTTTCCGCTAGGCAACGAGAAGAACGCAAGAGAAGGCGGAAGCGATAAACCTGCCGACGTTCGTTGTCCGTTAACTACGCACGCTTCGTGTATCTGTTTTTTTTTTCGTTTAATTTTTGTCGTTCTTTCGCAAACTTATTTTCTTTCATTGCACCGCGGTCTGTCATCACTCGGGGAACGTAACTGCGTTCGCAACTTCCTCGCAACGAACGAACGTGGAAAAAAAACCAGTTAACCAGCGTTTTGAAATAAAAATCAGAAAAAAAAAGTAAGCACCGCTAAAAGCTGGCTCCACCCCCTCCTTTTACCAAGTGGCCAATGGCAGCGAAGCGTTTCTCATTCGTGCGGGGATGATGTGTAAATATGTATAGAATGGGGTTGAAAGGGTAAGTAAAAAAGTGATAGATAAATAGAAACATATATATATGTATGTATATATATATACATATACACATAAATGTATGTATATATTTAAAGACAAAATGGAGAATGAGAGTAAGAAGAAGGAACGAGGCGCTGCGCATTGGCCGAGCATATAAAATTACATGGGTATGTATATATAAAATACATATTGTCCTTTTAAACGAGAATCTGGTGGGTGGTAGGTTAGAATTTTTTTGGAGGCTACAGCATTCGAAAAGGGAAGTAGTAGTAGTAGTAGTAAATAGTAGTAGTAATAGTAGTAGTAGTAGTAATCTTGTGTGTTTGTTGGCACATTTTTTTTTATATTTTTTTATTTTTTTTTTTTATTTTTTGGTTCCGCTCAAACGTCTCGTCGGTTCAGATGAGCATACAACTCCTCAACGAGACGACGGCTTCCTTTTCTCTCTCGTACACTCTGATTTCTTTCGTATTACTTATTTTCTGTTTTCGATTTTTTTTTACTGTTTTTTTGGTTTGACTTTTTTGGTACTTTATTTTCGACTTTGTGTCACGGGTCAACGCGCGTGACTCAAGCAGAGGGTTTCTCGTTTTCTAAAGCTCGCAACAAAACACACTGCGCATCGTGTTTCGATTTACTTCGCCACGGCTTTTAACCGTGCCGAAAGATTCGTTTCAGGTTGCATGGAAAAAAAGGAAACGGTTCTTTTTTTTTTTTGTATTTCTCTCTAAACAATAGGTCGACTTTAGAAACTCGCGACACGTATCGAACCTCCGGGAGCTTATTCGCTCGCTCCAAACGTAAATCACGTTTTTTTTTCGTTTTTTGATTCTTTTTTTACGCGGCGAGATTTGTTGACCTTAATTTCATGTAAGGATGCTAGCTCAGGCGACGTCCTCGAGTTAACATCTTAACGAATCGTGTCCGTCAACAAATTCGTCGACTCCGGTTAATTTTTCTTTAAGTGTACTTTGAGTCTACGATCAAAAAAAGATAACCTTCTCGGAAAACGTTGCCGCGATACTGCGTTTCGAATTGCCGCAGTCGCGCAACCACGAACAAGGTAAAATTAACGGACGAGAATTTCTGAAAAATTAAATTCATTAGCACATCGTAAAGCAGTTCGGTAATTTTTCTCCAGATCTAATGGTAATTTCATAATGATACCCTGATGAAATAAATATGTACATATAACTGATATTAAAGTTAACGATATGAACATCAGAAAGGTTCGAGTATCGAATCTTTTATCCTAACTACCGTCGATCGACCTCGACGAATCGTGGTGGAAAAAGTCCAATCGGTTTTTTATTCTCATGTGAGAATTAATCACTTAAAGTAACGATAAGGTTACATTTATGCAAACATAGGTATGTTATTCTAAGGTTCATTTTAAAATGATATTTTGTAGAGATACTGGTAAATTAAGGGTGTGCAAAAATTTATTTTAGTATTTAAAAATATTTTTTTAGAGAATTTTTTGTTAGTGTAATTTGGTGAGGATTAGGAAACTACCCTATATATAATAAAAGTGTAGAAATCATCCAAACTTCTAAATTTCAAAACCACCTGCTAAATAACACATACATGGCAATATAACAAGAGTCCACTATAAATAGAACCACACTTAAAATTGTTGTACACCCTTAACATACAATTCCATAATTCAAAACTAAATATTTATTATTGAACCTCATTGTCCAGAATTAAATATAACTCCATATTTTGAAGTAACTTTATAGTGTCTAATTAACCACTATTTAATTTTAAACTTGTCTGGTTTAATTCCTGATAGTGTTAAATCTGCTTAAGCTAATACTTATCGAAGATATTAAAGATGCAGCCTACATCGTGTTATTTCGATTACGCGTATACGTTACGAAATGATGATTAAAAGTGGAGCAAATTGTTAATCGTGTAAAGCTGACAATGGTATCTCTTACCTTGCTTGAAACCTTCGCTCCCTTGCCTACTGTGCGGCCGCGCGAACGTCTCGTCAGAGCCTGCAAAACAAATTGAATCGATTAGATCGATCGATAATCTTGTCAATTATAATGGATTATATAAAAATAAGTAATGAGTGGAGTTAATTATTTTTTGTCGAAAACAGGTAGAATATTCTACACTGTTACGTGAGTTTTTTGATTTGGTAATGCAAGTGACTTGCTTCTGATTATCTTGATGTGACGCATGCAAAATACGTTCTACATATGTATTTTTTAAATATCTGAGCATACGAATCTACTGAACTTTAAATTTTCAAATCTCTAAATTTCAAAAAGGAGTGAATGACATCACCATGTTTCTAGAAAGAGTTACAGCAGAGTACGGCTATAAATTGTACAGTAAATCTAGAATGTCTACCCGACGTCGACAAAGTCACTCTACGATATCAATCCCATGCAGAACTCGTTCTGCAAATACCAAAGAAAGTTTCACTTCCATGTTGATTATGATAAATAAAATTACATAAATCAGTTGCATTACCAAAGCTGGATAATCAAGTATAACTGCTAATGATGTCCATGAAATATGAACTACCACGGTTCTCAACCTTCTCAACATCTCCCTAAAGATTCAATAATTTTTCACTAATTTTAAACAAATTTCCACATGTTCTCTACTACATTCTTAACATTGAAAGTAAAATTATTATACTGTACAAATTATCCAGCTGATATGTAAACCACTGATCTGCATTTTAGTTTTCAACTTTCTTAAGACTGTTGCATATTTAGCAACACAGTGCATCCGATTAACATTACAATATTTATATTTTAATATCCATGAATATTGTCACTGTACTACCATTTGTAAAATACATATAATTAACAAAATGGTCTGAAACCGAATCGATGCACTGCAGGTGTGCTGTTAAGTGAGCGTTTTTTATACTCAAACACTTTCGCTACCATGTCACACGTGTGACTCTGTAAGATTCACGCCCTAGTATCATATACTTTAACACTTGGTTTGATGGTATGTGTCTAAGCCATATGTAACACTTCAAATCATGAGTGTCTGTTACATGGATCGTGGACATGTTTCTTACAAGGGCTCTCGTGACCTTCGAAACACAGATTTCTATTCAGATCAAGATTTCTACTAACAACTATAAAGTATGTCAAAAGTAATGAGTAAACTGCGGATGTTAGAACCTTTCATGGCACGAAGAATGTGACATAGATCATATAGAAATTGTTACACTTATCTGTTACAAATATTTGTACATAAAATGTAACACAATAATTAATTCGTGATGACGCCATGGATAAGCTACGTAGAGCTAGTGTGACATTCAATGTGTTAATACATTCTTGAGCTTCAAACGTACATTGTCCGCTTATTTTTTAAAGAGTGTACCAAAATACTGACATCAATTGTTTGAACGAAATCGGTGTTTCAAAGGTTGTTTAAAAGGAACGCGTTAAACGCGAGCTAACCTTGGGCAGAGGTACTAGGCGTAGGTTCCGGTTCCCGTTTCACGCGGGGTGTGATCGACTCGGGTGTATCGGTGCCGTTCTCCGTCGGTTCATCCTTCCTCGACGACGACAAGGACGATGCAGCCGCGTTGTTTCCCGTCGATGACGAATTCCCCACATTGTTGCTGCTGACGTTGTTACTACTCGCGGAACCGGTGTTGTTCCCGCTTCTGCCGCCGCCGTTACCGCTGCCTTCGCTCTGAAAGTCGATACTCATCTTCATTTCCATCATCTCGGGCGATCCCTGAACCAGATCGGTCCCCGAGCAAGACTGCAGCTCCTGTCCGCTGATCTCGCCGATCGGTGTGTCTGACGAACCGCTTAGCTTCCTCGGTCTACCCCGTTTCCTCTTTGGCGCGGATAAGGCCGAACCGAGCAGAGGATGACTCGACATATGATGCATCCTCTTCTGCGAGACGTGGTGGTGAGGCCCGATTTGGTTTATTCTATGTAGATTCGGTGGCGGTGGAGGTACTGTGTTTTGATTGCCAAGCAACGAAGAGGTAATACTAGGCAAGTCACACTTGTCCTCGTTTACCTCGGTTAAGCCCTTTATCCTGAGAGACTCAGCGACTCTCAAGAAGGCGGTTAGCCTATCCTGGTCGACGCTCACCTCCCCGCGATACATGAAATCCAACAGGCTGCGCATGTCCACGTAGGGAACATCTTTCAGAATGACTATCGGGTGCTTGTCGGGGTGGCCGACGAAAAGGGCCTGCAAAAAAATTCGAGAAAAGGGAGAACGGTAAGAAAACGATTTATGAATTATTAATACGCGTCATGAATTAATTTATCGGTTATGAATTATTGATTATGTCCTAGAACGTGATTCGCTTCGCAGCAGAAGCGGATATGGGTGCTTCCCTTCGCCGAGGAAAATGTCTTTGTATTTCGAGGATTAGCAAATGTAAATCTTTAGAAAGTTCTCAAATACTCAAATCCCTAAATTTCTACAAATGTCTCGAATCCCTTAATTACCCAAATTAATTGCGAACGTTTAAAGTAGTAAGATCAAACAAGAGGGGTATGTTCTAAGTATAATCGGAGGGTGGTTAATACCTGAAAGTATGGGCTACACGCCGACAGCACCATTTTGTGTGCCCTGAGTAGCTGACCCTCGACAGCCAGCGTAACGTCGACGAACGACTCGTCATGGAGCAGTTGGTCGAAAACGGAGAGTAGATTACTTTGATGATTGTTCCAGCGCAGACAAAACCTCTGCGACGCCATCGCTTCGCTTCTCAGATCCGCCAAGTTACCGTTAATGTCCGCTAACATCAGATCTAGTGTTGATCTTTTTATTGGTATTGCTGCTGCCGCCTCGTCGTCGTTTCTTCTCGTCTTTCTCGACGAAGCCGCTTGCTCTTACACGTGCTCCTGTTCGTACTCGTGCTCGTGCTCTCTTCTTCATCGGCCACAGTTTATCATATCCTTCCTTCTCGTGATCTGACAAACAAACGGGATAATCGTTAATAAAAAATCGGTATGCAAACAACCGTGTTCTTATTTCATCGCTTGATCACTACACGATCGGTGATATCGGTAGTGTGAATTTATGTAGACTAATAATTTATGTCTATCACAAATTATTGATAGGATGTCGTTAATTATAATGGGGTTGACATGGGGAGAACGTAATTTTATCATCATCTTCTTGAAACTTCAAACCTGACAGTTTGTTATATATTTTATTAGAGCTTCATGTTTGTACTGTGGATATAACTTGAAGATCCTAATTTCAAACAGGAGTTAGATGTTACTCGGTTATTCTGCTGGAGTATAATCCTGAGTTAGACCTCCCAAGTTCCCAAGTGTCCACATTTTTAAATTCCAAAATATCCAAGTTTCTAGATGTCCAAATCTCTGAATCCTGAAACCATCAGATTATCCCAAATGCTCAAGTGTCTAAATTCGCAAATGTATAAATTTCCAAATAGCCAAGTAAAAAGAATCTCCACCACTGGTATAAACCAGGAGAGACAACTCTCGAGCGAACGGTAAAAGTTGCTTTTCTTACATCGCTTTCCCCGGGGAAAGGTAGCATACTGGCCGGTGTATCCAAGCGGTTTGGAAACGCAGACAGATTTTTTGATCGCGTCACGTAACGAATTCCGCCCTTCGACCGAGCGAGAAAAGTCCCTAGTTGCATGCTCTCGGCGAAACAAACGTTGCGTACGTGACCGTGATTGGACCGGCGAAGGGGTGAGGAGAGAATTACATAAAAGGCACGAACCGAGCGAGTCGCCTATTCGCCCAACCTACGTCCTCCAGGGTCGTACACCCACGTTCATACCTCGTGCGTGTCGTCTCGCGGGCTTATATGGACGATTATGCATGCGAGCGTTATCGTATACATATATATGTACATATACGTGGAACACGCGTTTAGAGGACTCTCTCTCTGGTACCAGGACGACGAATATCGTTTCCAAGAAATTTTCCTACACGGACAGGAAATCTGGCAGTGTTTTCATCGTAGTCGCTCGAATCAGCAGTTAATGACGCGATTCCTCGGTTTTTACTATGAATCATCACGGTGTATGAGCAATTTAGACTCTCGTAAGCGTAATTTGAGTACTTGGTTCCCGGCTAGAGCCGCTGTTATCGATGATGTTATCGATAATATCGTTAAGACATCCTTATGACGAATGTGCGGCTGACGTGGAGTACTGCGACTAACTTAATCGTTCAAATCTAATTAGATTCTCTTCGAGTTATTTGTACAACCATAAAACTTAACCTAACCTCAGATAATTCTTGTTAAAACTAACTTAAATTAAATTTAATCATAACTTATTACTTTATGCTGACATGATTCAAGTCTGTTCTAAAAGTACATAACTATGATCTAATCTAACTTAAACTTACGTAACTCTGATCTAACCTAACCTTACTTACATGACTTTAATCTAACCTAACTTGATCTTATATAACTCTGATTTAACCTAACCTATACTTATATAAGTCTGATCTAACCTAACCTTACTTACATGACTTTAATCCAACCAAACTTGATCTTATATAACTCTGATTTAACCTAACCTACACTTATATAAGTCTGATCTAACCTAACCTTACTTAAATGACTTTAATCTAACCTAACTTGATCTTACATAACTCTGATTTAACCTAACCTACACATACATAACTCTGATTTGACCTAACCTAAACTTATACAACTCTAATGTAACTTGAGATGAAGTTACATAATCTAACCTAACATATACTTACATAACTCTTATCTAACTTGATGTAAACTTAACCTTGATGTAACCTAACCTAAACTTGCAAAGTTCTGATCTGACCTAACCTAAAGTTACATAACCTCAACTTGACGTAAACATAACCTTGTAACCTGACGTAAACTTACATAACCTTGATCAAACCTAACACAAAGCTGCATAACTCTGAACTAACCTAACCCTAACATAACCTCATTTAACTCAATCCTAAACACTTCAACATATAAAATTATGAAACTTGAACACCTAAAAATGAAAATATTTTAAACTAAATATCCACCACATTGCGCAAAGGCCGCAGTTTCTTATAGTGGCACTTTTTGTAGAAGAAAATTCTACAATACATCAGATTGTACTCATTGAGATACCCTAACAAGTTACATTAAACAGGAAGATACAAGAAAGAAAGCATATTCACAGTCATCCAATCTTGATCACAACGAAGACGAGAATGAGCTACCATTGGTTGCGATACGGTGGATTACTCATTCAATGACGGTACAAGTATCCGCGATATTGCAAAACAAAGCGGTTGCCATGTGGCGACGCTACTTGCGTCCGTAATACAAGCACCGATGAATTATTTGCACAACGTTCCCGTTGCTTTTCGCTTGGGAATCCCTCAAAGGCTGTAATGACCAGATTAAGTGCTCGTTGAAAGGGATCGGGGATATCCCTGTGCCGCGATGCGTGCTGCGATTAAGGGCGGGAGATTTGAAATTGATACGTTCGGTCATTAGGGAGATACGTGATGTGGGAATTTGGGAAGTTGGAAATTCGGTGGTGCGGTAGTTTGAAAGTTTGGGGATTTGAGGAGAGGGGGAATTTATGGATGTGGGAATTTAGAATTTTGGGCCTTTGGGAATTTAGGGATATGGTGATTTAGAATTTTGAGGATTTGGGAATTTAGAATTTTGGTAATACACAAATTCCTAATCTTCCAATTCCTAACTTCGTCAGCATGGGAATTTGGAATTTTCAACCTTGCAAAATTAAAACTTTAGAAATTCGATGAAGTGGTTATTAGAATTTTGAGGATTTGGAAATTTAGAATTTTGGGCCTTTGGGAATTTAGGGATATGGTGATTTAGAATTTTGAGGATTTGGGAATTTAGAATATTGGACCTTTGGGAATTTAGGGATATGGTAATTTAGAATTTTGAGGATTTGGAAATTTAGAATTTTGGGCCTTTGGGAATTTAGGAATATGGTGATTTAGAATTTTGAGGATTTGGGAATTTAGGGATATGGTGATTTAGAATTTTGAGGATTTAGAAATTTAGAATTTTGGGCCTTTGGGAATTTAGGGATATGGTGATTTAGAATTTTGAGGATTTGGAAATTTAGAATTTTGGGCCTTTGGGAATTTAGGGATATGGTGATTTAGAATTTTGAGGATTTGGAAATTTAGAATTTTGGGCCTTCGGGAATTTAGGGATATGGTGATTTAGAATTTTGAGGATTTAGGAATTTAAAAATTTGGGAATACACAAATTCCTAATCTTCCAATTCCTAACTTCGTCAGCATGGGAATTTGGAATTTTCAACCTTGCAAAATTAAAACTTTAGAAATTCGATGAAGTGGTTATCAGGAACTTTAGAACTACGTAAGACTACAATTTACAATTAGAGAAATATGGAAGTATCAAATGTTGAACTCTCCAAAATACTAAATTTGACAAACTATTACAAACTGAAGCAACCCACAAAGGGACGAGAATAAACATCTTCGCCTTGAAGAGCGATCTTTGGACCACGACATTAAACAAAGGGGAAAAAAGCGTAGAAGGAAAAGAACGGGATCAGGACTTGAAATTTCATGAAGGCGGAGGAGGAAAAAGCGACGAAGAAAAGAGAGAGGATCCTGGGTGATCGGGTCCTACACGTAACAGAGGGAAGAGGTCGACGGGTCGGGCCAAGGGAATCAATAGCATTTTCTACGCATTCGGATCGATAGCAGGTTCCGTTGGTTTCGCGCGCAAATCTCGATACACGCGTTGCATACGTGCATACATAATGCCCGTTGCACACACACGAGTGTTCGCGGTATTCGTAGGTATATATTCGATATATAAACGCGGGATGGATGTCTGTACACGACCTTGCACGACCTTGTTAATACCCTGAGTGAATGGTTTTCACGGTGAATGGCACGTCATCATGGTGCGATACACGGCGTGCTACATAAACGATAGGGATCGGACTGGAATCGAGCGGCGATCGAGAATTTCTGAAATGTCGTGGCGGGAGAGTTTCGATGCTCGCTTCCTTCTTTCGACATCGCGACAGACCGACTTCAACCTCGATAAATGGATTACGTAATCAAGTCGTGCAAACCGCTTGATTAAATCGGTCGTAGAAAAGTGGAGGAGAATCGTTCGCGCGAACTATGGGGCCTGATGACGATATATCGATCGGATCGCTCTTTTGAATGTCACTTTTCTGAACTATAAATTGTAACCCCTTGCAGTATTTTGATGAGCGAATGCGCTTACGGTTTGGTTGCGACAAATCTTGCTTGAATACATTTCAATTTGAAGTACAATTATCATTTGTATTGTCAAAGAGGACTTAATATAAAATAGTCACATTCTGACTTTCTTTCTTTAATGATTTTAATATTATTTTAGTTAATAGTTACTTTTGATTGAGGCACATGACAAACTGATATAGCAAGGGGTTAAATTGTGGGTTGGGTCGTCGCTCGCTATATCGCTGTGTTTATTATATCGCGATTATGTAATGAGATCTATTTCAAAATTTGATTTAATTTAATTTGGGCTGGATTCAGTTGTCAAATTTAGTGGATTTGCAAAATATTCAAGTTTCCAAATTTTGTAGTCTTTGAACTTCGAAATTCCAAAGTCCCTAAGATCCCAAATCCATAAATTCCCCAATTCCTAAGTTCCCAAATCTCCAAATTCCCCAGATCCCTAAGTTCCCAAATTCCTAAATCCCTAAATTCCCCAAATTTCTCGAATTCCGAAATCTCCCAATTTTCATATTCCAAAATCTCTAAATTCCCCAAATTTCAAAATCCCCAAATTCCCCAAATACCCCAAAATCCCTAAATTTTCCAAATTCCCCAAATACCCCAAAATACCTAAATTTTCAAATCCCAAATACCCCAAAATCCCTAAATTTTCCAAATTCCCCAAATTTCCCAAAATCCCATTTCCCAAATTCCCCAAATACCCCAAAATC